TTGCTCTCTTCTCATTTCTTAGACAAGCCCACGTGTTAACCCTGAGCTCAGCACATACTTGTGCACATTTTTTTTATACAAGGTGAACAAAAGGGTGGGAAATAGTGACTTAACTGCTGCATTTGGACCCATACATGATGTTCTCTATGCTTACTATCAAATGTCCAAAGGGAGAGGAAACATACCAGGTTGTGGAAGGGGAAGAGGACAAGGTCGTGGTAATCTCATTGATGGCCATGGTGGTTTGTCACCCTATCTCAGCCATGGCAATCTTAGTGGTGCTCAAGGAGGTCCATCACACTATGCAGGTCGAGGAAGAGGACTCTGTCAACATTACTAATATATCCTATGAATAAGACCGGTGTTGAATCCCGTCAAATCTGTGGTCGCACATGCTATCTCGCTTCTCAATATTATTATCTCAACAAAACTCTCAAGACAACCCTAATACTTTGGATCACTATCTCGAGTATATGCCTCTCACCACATTGTTTGAGGCAAGTTGGATTGTGGACACTGGAGCTACAAATCATGTAGCTGATGATTCATGTATATTAGTTGATGTTATTCCCTATAATAGTTCACATCTTATTATTATGGGTGATGTTCCTCAGTTCCCATCTCACATATTGGTATGACCTCTGTTGCTTCATCCATGGGTTCCTTAAAAGTACATAATGTTTTTCTTGCTCCTAAATTTCAGAAAAATGTTATCTCTGTATCTCAATTTATTGATCAATTTAATTGTTCCTTTGTATTTACACCCATTGCTCCTTTGGTGAAGGATCTTCAGTTCAAGAAGCTCCTCACTAAAGGAAAATGTCGGGGAAATCTCTATTTTCTTCAAAGTGATGAAGTCCATGCCTTGTTAGTTGTTGTCTTAGTCTCTAGAAGTAGTCATAAAATCTCTGCAGAACTATGACATCATCGATTAGCTCACACCAACTACGTTGTAGTAGACCACTTGAATAAACTTAAGGCCTTGCCCTCTTTATGTAATAAACCGCAAAGAAACATTGTTTGCAAAGGCTGTCAGCTTGAAAAACATTACCAATTACCTTTTTTTAATGCTAATAGATGTACTTTTCACTTATTGAACTTATTCATACTGATTTATGGGGATCATTTGATGCTACCTCTCTTTGGCTCTCGCTAGTATATTAGTTTTGTTGATGATTTCACCCTCATTACTTTGATGTATTTTCTAAAATCCAATTATGAATCTCTTCAAGTTTTTTAGTCCTTCAAATAATTCATCGGAAAACATTATCAACTACAAATTAAATTCCTTCATAGTGATAATTGTGGTGAATTTACTTCTCACGCTTTTAGATCCTTCTGTCAAACTCATGTGATCAAACAACAATTCTTTTGTCCACATACACTTGTTCATAATGGTGTGGTAGAGTAAAAAAATAGACACATAAGTGAATTGGGGTTGTCTTTAATATTTCATAATGGGATACCGATGCATTTTTTGATGAGGCATTTCATACAATTGTATTTGTTATTAATCAATTACTAATCTTTGCCAATCAAACAACATGTCCCTATATAAAAGGCTTATAGGAAAAGTTCTCGATTATTCAATTTCACGTGCTTTTGATTGCATATGTTATGTTCATATTGATAACTCCTTAAGCAGGAAACTCTCTGCAAAGGCAGAAAAATGTGTGTTTGTTGGGTACCATGATGAGCATAAAGGATATCAATCCTATTCTCCTGCTAGCGGAAAGATACATGTTTCTCGTTATGTGACATTTGATGAGAGATGATTCTACAAGGAAGCAAATAAAATTTGGCAGAAGAATGACTTGCAACCTTTACCTTTTTTTATTATATCACATACTTGGGGCATGTTATCGACTAAATCTCAATCATTGTTGCAGAGTGGTTCTGAGTCCTTGATAGATGCAGCTATTAGCCAAGTACCGAGTGACAGTGGCATTTTTAATCCCCCCATAGAAAGTACTTCAAGTACACCAACCCACAATAATCAACCATGTCGATCCTCTAGAGATGTTCAACCACGACGATTCTTTTTTATAGAAGAATAGGCATCCTATGGTGAACACTCTCGTGAACATTTCATTTCTCATTACGCTCACTACACATACATAGCCAAGTACCTACAGAGAAGTCATAAAAAACCCCAAGTGGATTGAGGCCATGAATGAGGAATTGCTTGCTCTTCATCAAAATCACACTTGGGATCTTGCACCTAGACCAAAACATAAGAATATTGTTGAATGTAAGCAGGTTATAATATCAAGTACATGGCTAATGGCACTATTAAAATATACAAAGTGAGATTGGTGGCTAAAGGTTAGAATCAAAAGTATGGGTTGGACTATGAAGAAACCTTTCGTCATGTTGTGAAGATGAGAACTTTCAAACTAGTATTAACAATGGTTAATCTCTGTGGTTGGAGATTACATCAATTAGATATCAAAAATGTCTTTTTGCAGGGTGATCTCCAAGAAAAAGTCTACATGAAACAACCACTGGGTATGGATAATCAAAACGGTTTGATCTTGTATGTAGATTAAAGAAGGTAATATATGATCTCAAATAAGCTCCACAAGCTTGGTTTGAAAGCTTCTGTAAAGCCCTTCTTACAAGGGTTATTCTCAAAGTGTTGTAGGCAACTCCTTATTTTTCAAAAGGAAAGGACAAAAGTTGGTGATGGTGCTTCTCTATATTGATGCTATCATTGTATCAGGTAATGACGAGGATGAAATAAAACAGCTAAAGATAATGCTCGGAGTACAATTTACTATGAAGGATCTTGGAAATCTAAAGTATTTCCTAGGTATGGAAGTTGAGCATACGAGACAAGGTATGAAATTGACACAACACAAGTATGCATTGGATTTGATAGAAAATTTTGAAATGAGTAACTGTAAGCCATCACCAACACCAATCGTCATAACAAAGAAATTATCTATTAGAGATGCTTATTCAAGATCCATAAAAGTATAAAAGTCTTGTTGGTGGTCTACAGTACCTTGCATTCACTCGACTAGATATCACCTATGTTGTTAATCAATTATGTCACTTTATGCATGACCCTCATGAGATACACCTCATAGCAGTCAACAGGATTCTCCGATCTGTGAAGGGTACCCTAGGTGATGATCTTTTCTTTTCCATTGGTGGAAGATAGGTTAACCTTATCGCTTATTCTGATGCAGACTGTGGGCTGGAGATCACGATACAAGAAGGTCGGTATATGAATTTTCTATTTTCTTTGCATGATCTCTAGTGTCATGGAGTAGTAAAAAGTAGACGATGTTTCATGCTCAAGTTCAGAAGTAGAATATCGAGCAATGTATCCTACAGCTGCGGAAATCACTTGGTACCGCCACAATCTATAAGAAGTGGAGATAAGAATTCAACATGCAATTCTATATTGTGATTACCAAAGTGCAATTAAGTTTGCCTTTAATCTAGTTCTTCATGCATGAACCAAGCACATTGAACTGGATTATCATTTTATTCGAGAAAAGGTTGAAAGTGGAGAGCTTACTGCTGATTATGTTTCAAGTACAAAACAACTTGCTGATATTTTTACAAAAGGTCTTCCTACTTTACAACATCGTTCCATAGCAAACAAATTGTCTATATTTCACATTGACAATAGTTTGAGGGGGAGTAATAAGAATAATGATAATGATTTAGAGAATAATATATCTAGAGACTAATAATGAATGATATATTGTAATCTCTTTTTATTTGTATAGATTTATTGCAATCACATCTTTGATTGAGTCAATCAAGTTATAAATACAACCCTCATCCCTCTCTAGGATGCGAATAATTCTGCATAATATTGTACTTTAAATTTATTCAGCTCTCACGTATATATTCATTTCTCTTTCAATTACAACTCTCTTGGGTAACCCCTGAATCATCTTTTTACCCAATGGTACTCACCTTCTTTCTCTAAGAAATGAATTTGGTTATGGAGGGCTCTCATGGCTGCTATTTTATGGAGCATATAGCATGAGAGTAACAATAAAACCTTTCAAGACCTGGGTAGGGACTTTCACCAAGTGAAAGCCTCTATCGTTAACCACCTATATTCTTGGATGTAAATATTGAATTGGTTTAGTGGGCTGTCAAGGGTTGATTTTTATACTAACCTGCTTATTTTATCTTATTTTAAGAAGTCAAAATCTATTAGACCAAAGATATGGAGCCCACCACAGGCATGGGGCGTGAAATTAATTTTGATGCAAGTGTCATCATCGGATATTGCAGGGTATGGAGGCCTTTTGAGGGACCATAACGCCAATGTGTTATGGACATATTCCAGTATCCTACCCTTTTTTTTTTTATAATGTGAATGACGCGGAGTTGATTGCACTTAAGGAGAGCGTTTTATGATTGCAGAGAGATTACCAAAGGGTGATTTTAGAAGGCTATTCCCTCAACATTATTTGTTGTACCTAACCCTATCCTTGGGCCCATCTAAAAAAAATTCAACCTGATTTTCAACATGTACATAGGGAGAGTAATTATGCTGCTGATGAGATAGCTAAGAGCGCAACGGCTTAGAGCTTTGAAACTTTCGCCAACCTTTCTCCTTTTTGCTTCTTCACATCTCCTCTATTTCTAATTGTTTCCTTTTGGTACAAGTCTTGTAGGGACCTTTCTCTCAATACATCCCCAAGGCGATGCTCCCAAAGACGGTTGTCCCAGTTCTTTGTTGTACATAGCAGAAGCCTTTCTTTTGTATATGGGTTCAATGTATGTTTCTCTATAATAATACAAACATAGTGAACATTCTAGAAAAAAAAAAAAACTCGAATGGCTTTGGAACGCAAGTGCTTATTTGTGGATGGCATTTTTCAAATGATGGGAGATTTGAGAGCGGGAGATTTGAGAGCCGCATATGTGTAACACTTTTTGAGGCCATGTAACTAGGATCAATATCGACAATTTAATATCATGAAGTTGTTAGATGATATTTTAGGCGTTTCCATGCAATTTGCTATTTACGGAGCATAAGCAACTACACTCAAGGGACCTTTACTCAAAGCGGTTCAACATCATGCAGGGATTGATGTTGTAGAGCAAACGGGGTTCTATAGCTCTTCCTCATCATCTGGATGGATGTTGTCACATCGGTGGCTATCATACTACCCTTAAAAGGTTCAACGTTATTTGTCATTTGACATATTGTTGAGGTTATGTTAGAACTCTTTTTAAATTTCGCGCCTCACTGTGTGTTTTGGCGCCCTAAAAGGGCCAGAAAACCCTAAATTTACGGTTCAACATGGGAACCAGCTTTATTTCCTCTGCAAACTGCAGTCTCTGCAAAATTAGGGATCGAGGGTTTCAATTTGCAGAGTTTTTCCTTGGCCTTAATGATGGTATCCCATCAGATCCACTGTAAGCAAAGACCTTGAAGTTTGGATTGAGAAATTCTTATGCTTTTCTTCTCCGGAATTTAGAGTTGCACTGCCATTATTCTAAACATCAGAGATCCCCTTCAAACCTCGGAAAAACACCCTAATTTTTTGTATTCTGAAAACCAGCGCATACTTATCCCTGGGTCATTTGAGCCAATTTAGGCTTTACAACCTTCATTCTCCTGCAGAACACTCAGGTGAAGAAAAGTTGTATCAGTTGTACAGAGTCAGAAGCATCTCTCCTGGCTCTGTACAATTGGGTTCTTACAGTCTCGTTCTTCTTTAGAATGGATGCATCTTCAACCCATTTATCATTCTTCAAGGATGTCAAATCGAGAGAGCTCAATGCTTCTAAAGGTGATTTAGCTCCAATTATCACGTCCCGTTTTGTTTTTTCTGAGTTCCTCCATGTTTTATTTATTTCCTCTCATTTTACCTCTTTCTCCCTGATATGGCTTTTAAGGTTGATATTGTTTTGATGGAATTTAGTAAGAAAGACGCCTTTTCTTGGAGCTTTGGCGTCAGAAAATGGTGGGCCTGGCTCTGGAGTTATTGCTTCAGAGCATAATGGAAGCCATACTCTTCCTTTGGCTGTATCATTTGGGAAGGTATACGTTTTATATCCATTTTATTTTGAAATTATGTGAATCGTTTTGCTTTTTATGACTAACGAAATATTGAAAGACTTTACTTGTGCATTGTTTCTCCTTTTCTTCTGACACGTGAAAATTATCTATGCCACTTATGATCCTTGGATTATAATGAAAATTTCTTTATTCACTGATTCCTTATGCATGAGCAAAACATTGATTTTTTTATAATTTTAATCTATCAATGCATTGATCATTGTTGTTGGCTGCCTTTGGTGTCTTACATTGTAGTGTTAATTTATCAGGCAAATTTTATACACCGTTGTGATCTTTTATTCTAACTGATTCATACATAGATTTTGACAAAAAAGAAAAACCATTGGAAGGGTGGGTTTTTATGCAAAACCAGAATGTATGTTACATAAACAAATGTAGAAGGTGATGATGAGTTGTTTTTTTTACTGTTTCTCTAAAACAGTTATCTTTTCCAAGTGCCACTTTCTTGAGTTATTAAATGAATATTTTATTTCCATTGCTATGTCTTTTTATAACCGCAGATGTAATTAATGATTGGCCTATTCCTTTTGGTAAAATGGCCTCCTAGTCTTCCACTATGTCTGTGTACTCAATTTTGTTAAAAGAATAAAACCTGTTTAACTGGATGGGATTTGCCATAAAGTACATGTTTCTTGTCAATATCGTTTGCTTACTTTAGGCTTCAGTTTAATGGGAATCAATTTGAATTTTAGTTTTGCTCCATTTATCTGAATTTAGTTAGAAAGAAGAGTTTTTTCTATTCTACATAGATAAGTGTTCAAAATGTATTCTATCTATCTGAAACCCGTTGACGTGCTTTGTTGTCAATATTCCTTTCACTTGATATAGCATCACAATTTCTTTATTTGAGGCTAATATTAATAAATGTTAAAGAAAATGTGAAAATCATTTTTGATATGGATATTTTGAGTTTTGGAATGCAGAGCAGTAAAGGATGCCATGTTCTTGCAGTATCTGATGAGGAAGGATACATTAGCTTCTATAACACACAATTGAATTTTCCTCCACTTAAGGGTCATTCTAGGAGCGAAGGTTTGCTGCTGTACATGCAACACCACCATGTATTTTTGTTTCTTTCTAATTTTGAATAAAAATCAATATTGATTTTTATTTTTTTTTAATTTTGTTAATATCCACTAGTTGTTCTCTCTTCTTGGACCAAGATCTTTGTGTGGGAAATTTAAGAGTGGTTCTTTTCTGTCTTCAGTGGAAGCTAGACTCAATGCTTGGATAGCTCATCATAATGCAATTTTTGATATATGTTGGATTAGGGTATTTCCCTTACCTTACTTTTACATTTCTATTTTCCATATTTCATCATAATTTTGGGATGACATTGCTATTGTTAGAGTTCTGTGACTAATACTGTTGTCTTGTTTGAGGTTAGGCATCTCGTGGATTGTAGATAGTTGTCAATGTTTTGCATTATGTTGATTCATTCATTATAGAGGTAAAGTATATCAATGGTGTAAGAAAGTGGATTGTAGAAAAGTTGTCAATGTTCTGCATTATGTTGATTCATTCATTATAGAGGCAAAGTGTATAAATGGTGTAAAAAAATACAACAATTGTTGCTGCAACAATGGTGTATAAAAAATAACTGCAAAAATGACAATTTTGGATATTGAGAAATGTTCTAATTAATGTACTTGTAAGAAATTTCTTCGATGAAATGTACTTTTAAGATATTTTTCTATCTTCTTGCTCTTTATTTTTCTCGTACAGTTGAGATAATTCATGTATTGAAGAACTTGATAGTTGACATTGATTAGGTAAATGTTTTTGTGAGGAAACCCTTGCCATATTTTGTTTCTTTTCGAATGTTAGAAACACTTAGAACTGTAAGATTGTATGTATTTATTAACTAAAAAAAAATTTCATCCATGGATTTAGAATAATGCAACACATATTTTATATGGATAAGTAGTAGTGCTTTGAAGGATAGCAATTTTTCAGAATTGTTATCTTTTAAACAAAAGGACTATTTGTTGTCTTTTTATGACTTAATGCAGTTTTTGATTCCATGAAAATATTCATAACCTATGGTTCACCTCAGTGTTATAAAAAATGGATAATTGGGTGGAGCGCCCACCACCCAACTACTGATTACTATTCGGATTAGCTGGATCTGGTAGAATTAAAAAAGGAAAGAAAAAGAAATTGAACATTGTGATATATAATATAGTACTCGTATGCCAAGTTAAATAATGATCCTAGCTTTCCTGGGAGTACCTTGTGACCTTAGTCACGAGGTCAATGTAGTTCTAACCCCCACTGTGACCATATAAATAAATTATTTTATTTACACTTAATACATGAAATTGTTTTGATGTCTAAAATTTAAAGAAAAACAAGAAAATTGTAACCCATAAGGTTCAAACCTCAGCCAAGTTGAGCAACGAACATCTGTGCAATCAAATAAATCATTTGGTTTTATGTTATATATTTTTTAGACTTATTCCATATATGTTTTTAATGTTTAACTTTTTTTAAAAAGAAAGTTGTACCCCTCGAGGTTTGAATGCTTGACATATAATGTAATGAACGCACACACTACCATAGTAACCGTTTCAGCTTTTTGCTATATAATGTAAGAATCATTGATATTTGACCACAAATTGTTGAGACTCGCGAGTCCACTTGGATTCAACGAAGTAACTAGGCCTCGCCCTATGGGCAAGCCTGGGTTTTCCTGAGTTGTGTTGGAGTTATGGCCTTTCAAGGCCTTGTAATACTGCCATGTTATAGCTCTTGATTACAGTGGGAATGAAAAGAGTGACATGACTCAAGAATCTTGGCACACTAGGACTAAGAGTCATGGAAACTTTAAGAAAATCATGAGGAGGGTTGGTGTATATATGAGAGGCATCAAGGTTTCAGGGTTGCCTTTAGTCGGGGTCGGTTATTGATTGTTATTGAGCTTGACTGAACCTCATGGCTGGATGATTGGGCCAGGGCGATGTGATTTTATGTATGTGGTGATATGAGCTTGATGATTAGTTCTGTATGGAAAGATTATGGCCTATATAGGGCATTGGCCTAAACCCCTGAATCTTAGAGCCTTCTCATATGTGCATAAATAGTCGCAAAGCATGGGAAGTAGATTCTTCTAGGGATCTATTGAGGAGAGTTATGCACATGTGCCAACAGAGGTTGTATTTTGTGTGTGCATGTCCTCTAGGTGGTGCACCTGGAACTACTAGTACTTGAGGATTTAGGGGCACTCATTGGTTTGGTTTTAATAAGCTGTAACATGAACCCTTGATTATATATTGCGGGGCATGAGTTTGTTGGGTCGTTGAAGAAGGTGGTTTTGGATTTCGAGTCTAGCTGAGTGGAGTGCTTTGATTCCCTATTCAACTCCATAGGATCTTAATTTCCCTAGAAAATATTTTTTAAACATTTTGAAAATAGTTTATTTTGATGGAAAATTGATGAAAAAGATTTTTGAGAATTTTTGGAGATTTTTTGGGACATTAGAAAGTGTTTTCTAGAAGTGTTTTGCCAAAAGATGATTAAGGACAGACCCCCAGGACTCCTAGGGGACACCCAAATGGCCAATGGGTGTCCATGTGGGGCCATGGGGGCCTCCACATCAGTCCCACATCGTGATGCGGGGGGTGATGTCATTCCCCATGGTCGCCTTTTTGGTCATTGTGTAATTTGTTATGAGGGAGGGCATTTTGTAATATTGGATTTTGTGCTAATTAGGAAATTGAGAAAATTCTTTTTGGCACATGTTAAATATACAAAGCAAGTGGTTTGTGCACATATGTGAGTCCTTTTAGAAAGAGCATAGGGTTTGAAATTAAAATAGAAACCTTAAGGGTATGTAGTAATTATGCAATTAACTAACTAGCTTATGTGACATGATTTGATTAGCCTCACATACTCTCATAAAATGGAGGAAAGTTTCAAAATTGATTTTTGCTGAAATTTTTTACAAATTAATTCCAGGGTATGCCCTCCAACTTGGCTTTAAGTTCAATTATATAATAAGAGTAACAATATTTTTATACAAGAGAAATTGGAGTGAATTATGGTTATTAAAAATGGAGGATAAGAGTGTTAAATTTATGTTACATATCAAGATGACATGATGGTGGATGGTAGATGGTGGGCCAAGGTCAAGCCTCTCTTTGCAGCCGTTGTTGTTGAACTTCAATGGCCAAGATTAAAGCATCTCTACACAACATTATAAATGCCCTTTTAAATCTCTCATTTCAATATACTTGAGTTCATCCATTCTCTCATTTGTGTGGCACACCACTTTCTCTCTCTCTTTCTAAACCCTTTAGTGTGGAGCTACGTAGGCTATCTTCTCTCTCTTTCTCTCTCATTCAAAGTGCCTAAAGGTGATGTGAGAGCTCCATAGAAGCTCATTGATGATTCCATTAATGGTGATTCAAAGCTCAAATTCAAGCCATGGGTGATCTAGTCTTAAGACCTTTATCAACTGAGTAAGATCTCATCCATTTCCTTTGAGTCTACTCAATCTAAGTATAGCAATCTTCTTGCTATAACTTCTTAGTTACAAATTCTTCTTGCTGCAAATTCTTAGTTATAGCAATCTTCTTGCTGTAAGTCCTTAATTACAGCAAGCCTTCTTTATCGATTTGATGTTAGATCCTTGATTTCTTGGATCTACTTTGATTCCCTTTTATTCATATAGTTGATTCATATATTTTTGGAGCATTTTTTATTGATGTTTATCTAACTTTTTTTATAACCAAATCGGTCAATTAGATCTCCATTTTGATGCCTCAAATTATTGTTTTCACAAGAGGAGATTATGCCGAATTTATGTGGCTCGATTTGTGAACTCTATGACCCTTCTTTTCTCCAGCTTTTCCCTCGATTTTGAATTCAATTTGTTAAGCTCTCTCATATATTAGAACGTGTCATGAAAGTGCAGATAATATGATACTTAAATGCTTTCCCATTTGATATTGCTCTTGGCCTATGAGATTATGCCATCGAAAGTCCTCCTATGGTGCATAGTTAAGACCCAATGCCGTAAACTGGGCAAAACGAGCTCTATGATCTGCTTATTATGACCAAATTCCATGCACACATACAATACTTGTGTTTGGTGGAGAAAAGAGTTTGAATTTAAAGTGTATAATGCAATTCCAAGGTTAGGTATAATTTGGCAATGTATTTGTATATGGCTATATTTTTTAGATCATATGATGATCAAGTTCTTAATCAATCTTCTTCATGTATATTGTGTTATGGACTAAGGCAAGGGACCAATTAGAGTCTTATTTTGTTTTAAAAGTGTATTTGAGGCCAAATTTAGTGGCTGGAATTGTATATGATAATGTAAAATTTGATGTAATTGAGTTACGTTATATTGAAATGGGGAAATTTTATGAAAATTTTTATCTTGTGTCACTTGGACTTGGTATCTATACACCTTCAAGTTGTGTGTACCACTCATGGATATTAAATTTTTAAAAAAAATTCTAAAAAATGAAAAATGTGGGATTAATTTATCATTTTTTTGTGTATGATTTATATGTTTTTGGTAGACTGGTGAGTGTTTTTTTTATCATCAATCCCTATTTTTATGTTTTACCTTCTTTTGGATTTTTTAAAGTGCCCCCAACTATAACTATGTTTTTTCTAAATCCATTTTTTTGATACTTTTTTAAACTTATTTGGTCTCCTTAAGATTGTTTTTTGTTTTATTTTGCTTTCAACACATTTTCTTATTTTTTTATTCTTGTCATTCTTTAATCTATTGAGGGCTTTTCAACCTGTTCATGACTCAGTTGGGTCGATTTTCTGTAGATTGCTTGACCTAGAACCGACATGGCCAATAGCAATTCCTGATATGGATCACAAAATTTTTAACCACTTGTTCTTGTTGGAGAAAGGATCTTTTTAAGAGGGGACTTAAATGGTCATGTAGGGAAGGATAGTAGAGGATATGAAGGGATACATGAGGGATATGGGTTTGGGGAAAGAAATGAGATGGGTGAGACTATTATAGATATTGCTATGGCTATGGCCTACAACCTAACAATAGCAAACACTTACTTTAAAAAGCAAGACGAATATTTAATAGCCTATATAAATGAATCACATAAAAGCCAGATAGACCTCTTTCATATTAAGACGGTAGATCGACCATCATGTTAAAATTGTAAGGTTATCCCAAGAGAGAGTTTGACTACCCAATATAGGCTCATGGTTATAGACGTTTGCATAAAGACATGGAAGTGAAGAGGTGAAAGTAATGGGTGCCCAAGAACTAGGTGATGGAATCTAAAAAATGAGAAAATAAACTTATTTAGGGATAAGTTAGTTGAAGAAGGAAAATAAAACTCTAAACATGATGTCAATGCAATATGGAATGAGATGGTTGACTGTATCAAAAAAGTGGCAAAAGAAGTTCTAGGAGAATCTAGAAGGAAAAGAAACTCTGATAAGGAAACTTGGTGGTAGAGTGATGAGGTTTAGAAGGTTCTTAGTGAAAAACGACCATGTTATAAAATTGGCAATGTAATAGAAACGATCAAAACTTAGAAGAATATAAAAATACTAAGAAATATGCTGAACAAATAGTAAGTAAAGCTAAAGTTAAGGCATATGATAGTCTATACAATAAACTAGGAACAAGAAAATGTGAAAAAGATGTCTTTAAATTAACAAAAAATAAGGGCGAAAAAAATGTAAGGATCTAAACCATATTAAATGTATTAAGAGTGGGATTAAAGATTCTTGGTGAAGGATGACGAGGTCAACGAAAGGTGGATAGTTTATTTGCCAAGAAGGAACTGTTGGCACAAACAAGGGGGGAGGTCATAGATACATTTGTAGAATTAGGATGTCAAAAGTGAAAGAAGCTTGAAAAAGGATGAAGATAGGAAAGGCTTTAGGATCAAATGGTATCCCGATAGAGGTTTGAGAGTGCATGGGGGAGATTGGCATTGATTGGCTGACAAAACTGTTCAATAAGATGTTGAGAGTAAAGAAAATGTCAAATAAATGGAATAAAAGTATTGTAGTACCTATATACAAGAACAAAGGAGACATATATAATTGTACGAATTATCGAGGGATCAAGCTTATGAGCCATACTATGAAGCTTTGGAAAAGAGTTATTGAGCAATGACTAAGGTATAAAATCAATTTGGTTTTATGCCAGGAAGGTAAACAATTGAGGTTATTTTCCTATTAAAGCAATTGATTGAGAAGTTTAAGGTGAAGGGAAAAGACCTCCACATGGTCTTTATTGATAGAGAAAGCTTATAATAGAGACCTTGAGATTTGATTTTGCGGGTGTTGGAAAATAAAGGAGTCTCTAGACACTTCATCGACTTGGTGAGAGATATGTATGATGGAACACTAACTAGTGTACGAACAACTAGTAGAGAGACGAGTGAGTTCTCAGTGACAATAGGTCTGCATCAAGGTTCAGCATTGAGCTGTACATCCTTGTCTTAGTTATGGACGACTTAACTAGGCACCTACAAGATGATGTATTGTGGTGCATGTTGTTTGCAAATTTGATCAATGAAAGCCAAAATGACGTCAATACAAAGTTAGAACTTTGGAGAGATACTCTAGAATCCAAAGGTTTAAAATTAGGCGGACTAAGACAAATTATATAGAATGCAAGTTTAAAAATAATAGGAGTAGAGACAAGGAAGTAGTTAAGATGGACTATTAAGAAGTACAAAAAAGACCACACTTTCAATATCTTGGGTCGATAATCCAAGAAAATGGAGAGATTGAGGAAGATGTCACACCTAAAATTAGAGCTGGGTGGGTGAAGTGGAGATGTGCAACTAAAATTTTATGGGATTGCTGCATACCAATGAACCTGAAGGGCAAGTTTTATAGGACAACTGTGAGACCAGCTTGCTTGATGGGGCAAAATATTGGGCGGACAAAAAAATAATATATCCATAGAATGAATGTAGCATAGATGAAGATGTTGAGATGGATGAGTGGCAAGACAAAAAGAGATAAAATTCAAAATGAATCCATTCAAGAGAATTTAGCTGTGGCACCAATAGGCGATAAGATGAGAGAGAGTAGATCTAGGTGGGCTGGCCATGTGTGGCGTCAACCAAAATATAGCACCTTTTAAGAGGTGCGAGTGAGTTCAAGTTGAACTACTGAAAAGGACAAAGGGTAGGCCCAAAAGGATGTAGTTGTAAATAGTTTGAAAAGATATGGGGACTTATGTCTTCATTGAAGATATGACCTTTAATAGCGGACTAGGATTTGTGTAACCAACCCTAATTAATTGGGAAAAGACTATGATGATGATGATGGTTCATGTTGAATGCTATCAGATGACATTCTTTTGTCACAAATAAAATAATAAAAGTTAAACATAACGTCATCTCATTGTGGACTTCTTTTCAAGGAAGGTGTCATCTTTAATATCTTGGGTTTGTATGCTTCTTGTTTCTTTAGAACATGTTATAACGTAGTTTGGAGTGGAGACCAACTTAATTATTTGCAAATGTGGCAGCTATCACATGCACATTTCCCCACACCAAAAAGTTGAATTTGTAAAAATGGTAAATTTTTTTGGCAAATCATTGCTTGTAAGAATGTCTAGCATTTATGAAAAAAGTCTTGCCAATGCCTCTTGACATTTTTGATATGTGTTCGACACTTGTGAGAAGTGTTGAAGGTGTCTGTAGCACTTCCATCAAATTTTGTTGCCTTCCTCACAAAAGTGGTTTGATCAGCCCTCCATGTTAAGGAAACCCATGTTGAATAGTCATCATTTCGTATTTGCCAGTGATAGCCATTCATTTTATCTCATCTGAATAAGTTTTGTCTTGCATTAATGATGTATACGTTCCTCACTCTGAATGTTATTTGCTATTGTAGGATGATGCCTACATTTTGACAGCTTCAGGAGATCAAACGGTTAGTGTTTTTCAAAATTATTGCTGTCTTTGTGCCTTTACCTAGCATACTGAGTGTTTTTGGCCAAAGATGAATTTAGTTTGTTGAGGTTTAAGAGGCAGAATAAACGTAACGATCTAGACTAAGATCACTCATTCTTGCTGCAAATTATTTTCATAGGCCATTTGTGTGACACTATTTGGGTATTGTTTACAAATGTTTTTGTGGTTAGTCTCTTATGGCACATTGTTTTGTATAATTATCTATGCCAATAAAGGAAGGCCTTCATTTATTATTAATCTTTTATTGTTATTTCAAAAGAAGTTGTGGACCTTTATGCTTTGAATTAATTTCTCTTAAAATTGTCTTCCTCTTGACAGATTAGAATATGGGATGTAGAGAAGAAGGCAAGCTTGGGCATTATGAAAGAGCACAAAGCCAGCGTGAAATCACTATCATCTCATCCAGTTAATTCTGGTAGGCTTCTGATACCATCGTGCTATAATGTTCATTAGGCTTCACTAAATGTGCTTACCATTGTTAGAAAATTCTATTGCATAAGACAACTTCAAAATTTGTGCATGTGTATCTCAATGCAAGGGATTGGGAGCAATGTAGTTTAATCCATGCTTTAAAAACTCCAATGAACGAACAAATGGTTGCCTTGCCGCCTAGGCGGCTTTTTTAGGAAAACACCTAGTCGTGGACTAGGCAAGCTTGCTTAAGGCAGGTCCTTCAAGGCACCTGCCTAGGCGGCTAAAAAGTGCAGGCCTAGGTGCCTCCTGCCCAATGGCGGAAAAAAAAACTCGGGCAATGGATAAAATTATAATTTTACCCCCTAAAAAAGGGGGAAAAGGCAGGCCACCTTTGTCTCTGGGCGCCTGCCTAGGCGCCTAAGAGACCAAACCGCTTAGGCATCCGCCTCTGCGTTTTTTAACATTGAAAAACTCAAAATTCAGCTTGATTTCAACCCTAGTCAAGTTCGGTATATGAATATGACATGGCTTGAAATTGGTTGTCATATCCATTAGGTAAAGGTTATGCTACAGAATGAATTATTACATAAAAATTTTTGCTTGTGTGTATGTGAATTGTGTATTTAGTGTGGCCATGGGTGAGGGTGTGCCCATGCCTTTGGGATAAAACATTTCCAGGAAGGCCTCTATATCCTGGCCATGTTGACCATTGAAATCTTTTTTTTAATGTGCTAGATATGATCGTTTCTGGTTCAAGAGATGGTTCGGTCATACTTTGGGACATGCGATGCAACTCCATTAACCAAAAGGGACTTGGGGAGCCTTGTTTAGGGTAAGCCTTTTATACCTTTGCATCTCATCCATGGTTCTATCTTGCTCTATTTGCTGGTTGCTGGAGTACTTCTATCCATTATTAGCAGTTGTAATATGTTATTTTATATCAATTATGTAGTGGAAATTTCATCTGATTCAATAATGTGAAAATTTTTCCGTCTCAGGCCTACTGCTATTATTAAAAATGCACATGTATATGCTCCTCAGATGAAAAGAAATAGGCGGACCAAGGTATATGGTACTTTGACACGATATTCTGATTTAGATAACTCACTTAATTTGAGTTGATCGTATATTCTTTCCCTCTTTATACTTTGGCTTACAATTCTTTGCACCTTGTGTTGCAATTCGGGAGCTTGTAGGGGGCTGTGGCTTCAATGAGCATCACGTCAGTTCTTTATCTTAAAGATGAATTCTCCATTGCTAGTGGTGGAGATATAGACAGGTCAGTAAGTGAAGAAATTTTAACCAGCCTTTGACCATGCGTATTTATCCTTCTAAACATTTTATGGGATTCGTAAATGGGGAATTATTTGGACCCTTACCAAAATAAAAAGTAAAGAGAAAACATAAGAAAAGGAACCATGTCTTGAAATTCCAAAATATAAGTATGGTACATAGCCTTTCTCTTGCAGTGTTTTGAGTTGGGTAATAGTTTTTGGAGTATGTCCATCATATTTATCCATACATGGGCCTTCAGTTTCTATTACATTGGCCTTCAGTTTCTATTTTTCTTACTACTACATATCTTGCTTTCAGTGTTGTGAAGATCTGGGATACTCGATGCCTGAAAGAGCATGTTGCTGAAGCCCACCCTATGTGCCCATCTATGGACAAGGTTAGCCAAAGAGAGAGAGAGAGAGAGAGAGAGAGACCTCCGGGAAACACATTCCAATAAGAGACAGAGAGGGGGGTTATAATTAAACATTGTGTACTAGGAGGATTTTATTATTATTTAGAACTAAGAGGGGGGGATTTTAGACCAATGGAAACTTATCATTATTATGAAGTCCAGGTGATTTCTGTCATTTTGAACATTGTGCTTGGATGATCTCCTAACTTTTTGGAATTAGCTGAAACTTTTGTGTTCTTTTAAGGTGTGTGGTTTCTGAGTGATATTTTTGTGAATTGGTGGAATTTTATAGCTTTTAGTAGTATCGATAGTTAATAGAAAATGCAATTCATTCTAAAGCAATTAGTAAATTCTATTTAGTGGTAACACATCTTCTCATACTAATTAATGGTATCACATCCTTTACTCTCTAATATAGAAGACAAGGGCTCATGGAATCGCTTGCCTATCTCAAGACACAAGTGGTGTATTTCTTGTAGCATCTTGTATGGATAACAGGTGACCTTTTCATGGCTATTCCTTGTATTTTTCAGGGTTATGTTTCTGTACTCCGAAGACAATCTAAAATTTGTAATAAAGTTCATGCAAGTTTTGTTATAAGACCCTTTTGTTATATTTTTTGTTTGATACTTGGTTGAAAGGTTATCTGTGTTTCTTTTTGCTTGTATCAGGATTTACTTGTACAATGTGATTCACCCTGACAAAGGACCTATGGAAAGTTTCTCAGGCCACCTAAATGGCTCTTTTTATATCAAGGTGAGGATGCTGCAAAAAAAATCTTAAAACTTGATTTATTTGGTTTAATTATCGTGTAAATATGTAGGCTGCGGTTATATTAGGTTACAACTTGTAGAAGTAAAGTTCGGATATTCTACACCGTCTGTTTTAGTTGGATTGTGTAGCTTGACATTTCTTTTAAGACAATGTCAAAGTGTCACGTCTTTTAAGCAGTCTCGAATCTATACTGTCCAAATAAAATGGATAAATTATTGTAATCTTATTGCTACAATTAAGGTAGCAACCTTATATAATCTGTTTCCAACTATTTATGGCACACTTCCCATTGGATGAAATATATTAAATTCCACACGATTCTCTGGACATAAATTACTCCCATCTTGTGCCATTTTGGTCATTTCTCATTGTCATGTATGAAATTAGCAGATAAATTGTGGATATATGCTTTTGTTGATGAGCATTTGCACTTATAATGACAGGAAAAGTACATACAATTAAATATGGATGGTAGATACAGTGGCGTGAATATGAATCTTAACTCTTGAAGTTAACCCTATTGTCACTTATGTTAGCCAGTTGTTGCCACTATGCTACTTCCCTTGACGTGAAAATTACACCAATCATTAGTATTTATACTATCCCTACTAGTAATTGTAGCTCAAAAATCCATGTCGGTATCATTTGTCTATGTAACGCATTTTATGTACCATTAGTGCTAATATCAATGAACAAATGTGGCAGCTCAACAAGTGGGTCTATGCGTTGTTCTATTTTCAAACTTCTTGGCAAATGACCAAATTTTTATCGTCTACCAATGACTTGTAACAATGGGCACAGGTAGTTTTCGACTAATTTTCTTGAAGGTTAATGAAACTTATCCAACGGAAGTGCATTATCAAATATCCTATTGTCACTAGGATCGCCTACTTTGGTAGGCTATTCCTTCAGGAATCTCGATCCTAAGATCCCGGAAGGGATCTTCTAGGGTTCACCTATTCTTAGAATTTAGGATCTCAATCCCTTCTTCTAGGGAACGAATTATGTTAACAATGAGTTTGAATGCCCGGTCTTTTTGGGATTTGGTTCCTTGATGATAAAGTTCTTAGTCCTAAGAATCGTGGGATCTAGATTCTAATACATTGTAACCTCAGTAATATTGCAACTTTTATGTGTTATTGCTTCGTTAAAGGCATATATTTCTTTTTAGTAGATATTTTATAAAAATTTGGAGTTTTACACAGTAGATAATTAATCCCCCATGATTCTCCATAACGAATGCTCCATCCTCCTTCACTGATGGGCAATCCATTATTTAATAAACTTCAATAAAAAGCAAATTTTTTAATGTATATATAATCTTGGGCTGTACTTTATTACATATAACTTTCATGTTCATATTCCTATTCCATGGAAAAGATGGCAACACAAGTTTTGGTACTTTACAATTAGTGTAGTTGGATTACATAAACTTTGAAATAGTTTAATGTTTCTTATTTATTTAATAAAAGTTTAAGATTACATATTATTAATTTAACAATGTTGCCATCTCAAGGAATCAGGCCTGGTCAAGGCCGTAACAACTGGGTTTTCATAGGATTACGTCTCAAGTTCCGTTCCTATGCAACCTTGTCAAAATTTAAAAAAACGTTGGGATCTGTGATGTAATGCCAGGGAGTTCCATTTAAATTAACATGACGTCCTCTTTTTTCAACTAAATGGAGATTGCTCCGACAAAATTTATTCATTCCTCCATACTATGTTCTATCATTTTCCTATTGTGCTCCCATGCTTGAGGAATTCACAAACTTGGGGTCGGGAACTTTCGAACTTAAACAGGGGACCTCAATCCTATTATAATACTCAATCTTAACAAATTGAGGAACGTGAACCCTAATATGCATGTATCGTGATCCTTATGTTTGAGGTTGTACGGACGTTGATCCCCATCATAAGGATCTTCCAGGTAGCCTCGTCCATTGATCCCACTCCTGATTCCGTTTTGACAACCATAAAATATCATACCCAAAGCCAATGCACATTACACTTATACATGTCTTCTATGTATATATGCATCTGATGCTAGTTTTATTTTTGTGACATTTAGTTTTCTATCACTTATTCAGTTTCTTATCTATGTATTTGGTTCATACCAAAACATTGTGTATATATCTACAGGCTGGAATTAGCCCAGATGGATCACACATTCTCAGTGGCTCTAGTGATGGAAATGCGTACATATGGGAGGTCGTATTTTATTCTTGAGGCTCAGGGATCTTTTCTACTTCTGAATTTGTGTTTTTTATATGTTCATTGATTCAAGTCTTGGAAATTTTTACAGGTGAGGAAACCTGAGGCAAATCTAATGGTGCTGAAGGGCCACGAAGGAGATGTCACTGCTGTAGCCTGGTAAGTTGCAGTTTAGATAGAACCCTTTTTTTTTTTGGTTTTTTATGGGAAGGGGGATGGGGGGGGGGGAGGGATGGGGGTTGTGGGGGTGGGCGAGGGGGGTTGGTAAGCAGGTGGGATTGGAACCATGGATGTGTTACTATTATAGGATCTTCAATGGCCATTTCGGGTATCTATTCACTTCAATATTGTTATATATGTTAATTTCTTTCATGTTTCTTCTTTTGCATTTTCACCCGCCTTGTCTCTACATACTTTAGTGTTTGTCAATATGCAGGTGTCCATCTGAAGTAGGCAAGATAGCAACATGTTCGGATGATTTTACGGTATTATTACTACTGAAAGTCTGGAAGCAAAAAATTTAGCCAATTTTTTATATTTATCTATTTCTCTTCATCTATTGTACTTTTTAACTAGTGCAGTGTGTGAAAGGCTCTTGACATTAGCATTCCAACAGGAGAGGAAAGCTCGGATTTGGGGTTCTATAATAAAAGTAACGTTCTAATAGTTGGGTTGTTACACAGAACATATCAATGTCCTACATCACCCATACACTTCACTCTTGCCAGTTGACACTTACTGCGTCATTAGTTCCAAATATAGGGTGTTAAAAAATTGTATAGAGCGCAAGGGTGATGTATGAACAGCAGGGTTTCCTGTGTCATGTTTGTGTGGTTTACTGTTGTGCAACCACATGTATATATAATAAATTTGAATAATTTATTATATTGATTACAAGTCAATTATTGATTATAAAATAAAAATCTTATAAATGTGTCTGTGTCTAGACCAGTGGTTTAAAAAATGGATTGATGCTCCGGATCGTGCATCCCAAAAACCCATTTGGATCAGTGAATCAGCGGTTCAGATTAGGAATCGACCGAATCGGTTAGATTTAGGAATAAAAAAAATCCAAAAAAATTATTAAAAATCATTATAAATGTTTTATTGGAATCCAATAAGAAATGGGGGTACTACATTATTAACTTTTATTTTTTTCATCAATAAGTGAATATTGAATTGTTCTTTCCCTGTATGAAGTCTAGATATCTATATAACTATTAATTATAATATAGTATTATAATATTACATCAAAATAATTTAAAAATATTAGAAAACACTTCCATATAATTTAAAAATATTTTTAATGTATATAAAACTAATTATATTGACATAAATTTAATATAATTATATTAAGTTATTAACATAAATAAACAACAATTTCATATAATTATGTTAATTTTTGTAAATTATTATATGGACTTTTATTTTTGTAATTATATGTAATTAAAGATTAATTACATGTACTTTATGTTTGTATATTATAAAAAATAAATAAATATAATTAATCTTAAAAAGAATTATAATCCATTTCATGTGATAGATGTCCTTGTATAAGAGAGAGGGATCTATTTATAGAGCATTTAATTTATACATCAGTCTACATATGAGAGAGAGTGCAAAAGAAGATCTTAAATAGAAACGTAGGTGCGCTAACTGCCTCAAGTGCAAAAGGACTATGCGAATTGTCCCACATTGGAGAGATGTGGGAGCGAATGGGGATATAAAAGACATTGAACCAATCCAATTGATATCGCGTGTTGGGTGCATGGCCACGTGCAACCTCCAATTCAGTCCCATGTGTTATTTGTGATGCAAGCTCAACATCATTGGTTGTTGTCAGGTAGGGGGGGCGTGTTCGTTGTTAAGGCAAGGCTCACCCTCATTGGTTGGTTGTTAGGTGGGGGGCGTGTGTGTTCCTTGTAATGCAAGGCTCACCAGTAAGCAAAAGGGGATAACGTCATTTGCTTGTCAGGTGGGGGGCTCATTTAATTGGCTTTTTAGTAGGAAAATAGTACGGACGATCGTTTTCTGATGTCAGCAGCGACCCGTGATATCAATTCGACGATTCAAGATCGAGAATCGGCCTGATCCCTTTTTATGAGTGGATCTGACGCGGTCTCGGCAATTCCCGATCCGAATCGTCCGATTCCAGATTGGATCACTGATTTTTAAAACACTGGTCTAGACACTTAGACATATATTGAATTCAAATACGATCTCCGTGTCTAGGTAGCAAAGGTGTTATTCATGAAAATTCTGAGCACCTAACTCCCCTTACACTAGTCAATAATTTGCAAGAATGGATGATGACATTGTATCTAAAAGCTTTTGAGGTGGATAGTTTTCCATATTTGGAGAATGTCCTTGAGCTTGTATGAAAGTCCATTTTTTCAATCTCGATTTTATTGCAAACATTTAAAACACGCATGTGTTTATATTCAAACAGGAAGATGCTTTTTTTTTTTTTCTTCTAATTCGTAATGTTAGAAAATGATCAATTATGGGTTCAAGCCCATCGTCCCTTAGGCTTTGGATTGAAGCCGATGGCTCAACTGGAAATCACGTAATGCTGCAATGTTGTGGGTCCAATTCTAGCTTACCTTTATTTTTTTTTTTGATTCATTGAACTGATCTAGTAAATGATGTTTTTTCGCTTTTTAATTATTAATGGTTTTTCTTCTTTTGCAGATTCGTGTATGGAATACTCAAAGCTGCCCAAACTTGAACACAATGAGATCCCCATCCTCAATACGACAAAGAGTGACTGCATTTCCTGCATCTATTGAGCCTCGGAAGCTGAACATGGATTTGCCTGCCCGAAGCTGCCCAAAACGCCAAGGTAAAGAAGAGGGAACAAGATTCCCAAGTGTGGACTCCCCAGCCCGAGCTGGCCCAAGCTGCCCGAAAACCCAAAAGCAAGAAGCTTTGAGGTTTTGTGTTTTGGATCCAGCTGTTCAAGCTCCCATAAACCGTCATTTACAAGAAGAGACTTTGAGTTTTATGGGTATGGACTCAACGGCCCCTAACTGCCCAGAATCTCGAGAAGAAGCACAGGTCTTTCATGGCTCCCCACCTCACCATAAAACCATTGAAGCTGAAACTCCTATGGACTGCAAGAAACAAAGTGTTTTGGGTCCTTTTACAATGGATGAAGTAGAGTTTCAGAGGACACCAGAGGCAAGTGTGAGGAGCCCATCATCTGTGTTGAACTCGCCTTCTTCATTAAAAAGGAGAACCATCAGGGATTATTTTATGATGGCTGCCTGAGAATTTGTTCACAGGAGGATTGGTTGGGAGGTGATTTAAAGAGATTATGGAGGTTCTGTTTGGTTGGCCATTTAACCTTCAGTTAGGCCTTGACTAAGGGGTTTAGGTGATGGATGGAGTTTCAGGAGAAGATTGGATTCTATTGACCTTTTGAATTCTAGGAGCGTCAAGAAGTACCATCGGAGTAAGAGCTCTCTCTCTCTCTCTCTCTCTCTCTCTCTCTTGGTTTTCTTTGAGTGCACGGGCCTTTGATATTGAATGATTTTGCATATTGTTGTCCATGATAAATTGTAATGTACATATCATGATAAAATGTAATGTACATTCTTCTTTGTAGTTGGATTGGATGTTGCTTCCAATGCGTATTTTCAAAAATTCCTATGAGAATGCTATGCAAAGGGGTATCTTTCTAGTTTAGCATGATAGACTGCAATCTACCTGATCATTCCTCGCCTCTTGACGTGTTGGATCGAGATTAGGATCGGGAGCAGATCGTGAAATTCTAGAAGATTGAACGTTGTCTGTACAATGCACACGTTAAGAATCAAGATTCCCAAATGTTAGAGATCGAGATTCCAACCTTTTGGGGATCTTGATCCCGACTTCTTGGGATCTTGATCCCAACTTTTTGAGGATCTTGTTACCAACCTTAAAGTATATGATAATCTAGGATTATGTATAATCTTTAAAGTTGGGATCTTATTGTTGATAGCAAGCAAGCAATAGTTGTGTTGCTAGTTGGTTATAAACAAAAAAAATCATCAATTTGATTGTTGACTTGGTCTTTAAGGTTGGGATCGAGATCTCTAAAGATCGCTTACCAAAATAGGAGATCTCGATGTGTTGGATATTGTTTGTAATCTATTAATTCTTCTCTTTGTTTAATTATCCCTCTTGTGTATGTTGGTGGGTGTGGGATTCTTTTTATGATGGGCATTAATCAAGTACTCTCCTTACAGGTATTTGGTTTTTGTTGGTGACATTATTCTAGTCACTTTCTCATTGTTTTGATTCAAGTATTCTCCTTAGTGGATTTGGGCCTCTATGTGTAACTTTATGTTACCATGAAATCTTGATAATAGTCCATTTGTGCATTTTCTATTTTGTCTTAAGTATGCGTTTCATTTTATGTGTTTGGCTTACTGAATATTTTGCGGGTCACTGTTTGTAACTTGTCATTGTTTGTATATTCCTCGTCTTGATGGACCTATCTCTCTCTTTTATGGGGAGATGAGACTTTATGTTTTGGAGTCTCCATGCTTTTTGGTGTCTGTTATATGGGGAGACAAGGCTTGAATTTGGAGGTTCCCCTGTTTTTCGCTCGTATGTTTGCAACACCAAATTGATAATTGCATAGGTATTATTCAGATGGAAATTGTTTTCAAGCGCTCTCTCACATAATTATTACTCTCTTTGTCCTACATTTCCACAACCATAAGTAGTTGGCGATTCTGCTTGCGTGTGATTAGAAGGGGATACAAGCTCCTACGGTCTGGCTTTACATTCCTGCTTGTTTTGGAAATTGATATGTAAAACCATCGCGATAGGGACCAAATGCGTATTACATGCAATTGAGGCCAGTAGTATTTAGTATGCATGTTAAATGTTGTATGTACAACCACTATTTTGAAATCTAAAGGGTAAGAATGATTGACTTTGTATCGTAGGTCAATAGTCTTTTTGAAGAATATAT